TGCCATTCCGGTAGCTTATAATGATCCCTTTCAGACACTGGAAACTTGTTTTGATAGGCACAATTAACTGTCACTATATATAATAAAGCTCCCACCTGAAAGAGCAGAGTCTGAATATCACAGTGGCTGTAATTTTATTGAAAAAATTGTTAATTAAAACATCAAGGTCACACTGAAGCAGCATGCAGCACAGCTAGCTTTTCAGACTCATTTTTCCCCTCTACAAACCGACTTCTTTTAGCTTGTTCTGATATGCAATGAAATTCTCCTCTACTACTATCATAATGTTTCACAACACCAGAATGAAGCCATTTCACATAGACATAAACCAAGAAGTCACATAACTGCACACTTTTCACATCCACTCATCCACTCCAGTTTCAGAGCTCAAACCCAGGGGAGCCCACCATACACAATATTAATGCTACCGTAAGTAGCATAATTAAGACCAAGCACAGAGCCTAAAATTGAGACGGCAGTTCAAGGAGGGCACTGATAACACTTAATATAAGTTTGATTTAATCAGTGTTTCTTAGAACACGAGCCTTTAGCTCCCTTTGAAACTCATGTAGAGGTTTAGATCTGGAAAACTTGCTTTATAGGATTGATGTTAGATTTCTACATTAGAAGACACAGTGAACTTGCAGCTCCTGACTTAAAAATTAACTGCCATAATCAGTATATCCATCATCTTGATGTTTGTTCTTTTCTTCTTGCAGTAGAACCTTAAACGCTGCAAGCCCTTAGCAGACAAACCAACAAACAGGGCAGTAACTTGTTACCACACTCTGGATTCTCGAGATAAATTTCTACAATTATGGTAAGTATGTCATGCTCTGAAGAGAAGGTAACAGACAGGTAATGACTGCAGTTACTTCCAGCCCTTGAGAAGCAGAATACAAATGCGGGCCACTGCAACTTTGCAAAGGCACCCTCCATCTGAACAGTCAGTAGCTCCACACAGAAAACACGTAAGCTCAGTTACATCTGAAGTAGTACAAAGCCTGGAGTTCCATGAGGAATAATCACCAATGATATAGTTACGAGAAAAGTTTTTAACCACACAATCCCCTTATCATCAAGAAGGGCACTAACACGTTGGAAAGATGAGAAGCTACCATGACTCTGGAAGCCTCAGCACTTCACTGGATCTGAAAGGCACTGAAAGGTTCCCCAGCAGTCACACAGAACAGCTGTGCCACAGCTGTGGGCACAAGTACACAAGCAAGACTAAGCACAACTTTCACCAGCTTACACTTAAACCACAACAAGATTTTTGCTCCAGTTTCCTTGACTCAGCTGAGCACTGTGTGGACTGTACACAAAAGCACCTCTCACCACATTCAGTTTTTCAAAAGCCAGATGCCCAAGAACAGATTTAAGAGGTTACGAGAATGAGATCAATAGTGTTAAGTGATGTTTTTCAGACTCATTTATGAATTCCTACAGCTAACCATTCTTAAAACATGCAAGTCATAGCTACATGCGTTGTAACATCTGTAACTCGATGCAAGCTTTTAAAAGTACTGGGTAAAACATCATTTTCAATGGTTATCATTTATCCCGAGCAGAAATAGCATCTCAACAATAGGCATAAATGAATTCTCTTTAAGATACAGATGCTCTAAACAAGCTTTGATTTACATACAAGTCTTCAGTAGGGACAGCAACTCCTGTTGTAATACACAATCCTACATGCATAGTGCTATGCCAGAACAAGCCTTTGCTGCAAGGGGCTTAAAGCAGAGTGACATAGCAGGGAATAAAAAGAATTAAAAGCAACCATAGGCATTGTACTGTTGGGCTATTATTTTAGCACAACAGATCTTATAGTAATCTAATCGATATTAAAATGGTGCCTGCATCTACACAACCTTTGATAAACAACATTAGCAAGTCTATTAACACCAATGAGTAATCCAAAACATGAGCTGCACAGTGGCAGCAAAGAAAAATTTCAGAAAAAATTACTTTTTTTTTTTTTAATCCCTCCAAATTCATGCCAGAGAGTAGCAGATTACGTAAAACAACACCAGAGAGGAAGAAAATAAGTAACACTAAGCGAAGTGGGTCAAGAACTGGTTGTTGGAAGTTCTATGCGCACCATTTTTGCCATATTCTTTCATGAACTGGAGAAAATACATTTAACCTACTCTATCACACTTGTTTCTGGTTTGCCTCTCACTCCAAGTAACCATGCTCCTCATTTTGTGGCATCACTAATAGAAGTTTCTTCAATTACTGAGTCAGCTGTGGTACACACAGCTGCCCTAAGCATTTATACTGTGTTTTCCAATACCACACGTCCTGATTACCAGGCAAAAACCTCACGGTTTCAGCATAACATTAAAACCCAGACAGACTTCTAAGTCTCAAGTAATGGAGACAGCATTATTGCTAAGAAGTAGCTTCCTTTTCCTACACTCTGCTGTTTTGCAGGCATATGCATTTATGTGGCCACACAGTAAACTGCATCCATGAACTGGTCTTTTTTTTCCTAGTACAAAGATACAGCAAAATAAAAATGTAATCTAGATAGTTCCCCAAGCTGGAGAATACATCCACTGTGAACTTGTGCTAGGACAAGTGAAGGAATAAGCAGCTGGTTCTGCTTCTTTTCACTGTAATTCCAGCCCAGCTTACTTCTGAAATTACGGCTTTACACATCTATTTTGCCAGAGTATATCTAAAAAAAACCCCAAACTACAACACAAGACTGCAAGCATGCAATTTTACAAATTGCACACAAGCAATTCCCACAAACTTACACTCCCCCTGACATTCTGTGGAATGTTTAATGATTGGTGATTAACAACTGCGCCATTTAACTATTTATTTCTTGTACTTCAGAGTACTGCGGAGTACTTGATGAATCCTGAACAGCCTCTCAATAGTAGAAGAATGGATTTGGAAGCCAAAGGGCACGTTACCTATGACTTGGAAACAAACAAACAGTCCTTACACTGTTTTTGGAAATAGTATTCTGAAGTTAGCTGCTCTCAGCATTTTTAAAATCCAAGTCACATATTTCCATAGCTTTAAGTCAGGAATCCTACATTGGATTTTAAAAGAGCCTTTCATTTTGGAAAGCAAAACTTTGAGTAGAAGTATTTTGTGTACTCATAATACTTTGTAATTTAAATTGTTCAGCTGTCATCCAGAAGCACCACTCCCTATCTTGCAGCAAAACCCTTGAGTTAAGCCAGCAACACAATTTTTCAAAGTTTCAAAATTGGTGTAACAGAACTAATCTTAGAATGACTCTCATTAATGTGTTATTCTGACAGAAAATAATATAAATGAAGCCCAGCCACAGCTTTGCTCAATTCCACAAAAGCCTATTGCTGAATATGCAGCTCCCCTACATGGTGCACGCAGCAAAGCTCTCCACTCTTCCTAGGGTACTTCACTCAAACTTCCCTCTAAAAATAGAAGATTCAACCTTCTAGGGAGGTTTCTGCTGAAGAACTGTGCTTCTGTATCCAAGTAAAAGTAAAATCTTAATAAATTTGCCTTCACTGAATGTCCTTGATAGTAAGTATTTTGCTGAAGAACACAGCAATTGCTTGTGAACTCATTTTAGCAGTACTTAAACACAAATTCACTGCAGAGTAAGAGACCACCCAAGCCTTTAATTTCTAACCAGGAATAGTACCAAACAATGAAGTGATATTCTTCTACCCAAACCTGAATTTACATTCTAAAAATATATACTATCCAGCAGAATTAACGCGGATGGATAAGGAGCCTCACTAGAAACTAGTATGTGAAGTTGTTTCAGCAGATACCCAACAAGCCCATGAAAACACCTATGTGTCCCTATACCACCTTCACCCACTGTATTTGCTTCTCGTAGACCTGCTTCTTTACACCAAGGTCCCATAAACCAACTGATGGGGCTCTGTCATTCTGTATCATGGACAATTCTAAGAATTGCTGAATTCAAGGCTGAAGGACAAGATCACATTAGTTACCCCTTTCTGTAAGCAAAACACGTAACCCTAATGCTTGTTATTGGTCTGTACTTACTATTTGTTTAATTACACTTGGGCCTAAAACTCAGACAACTAGCCATGCATAAGGTAGAATCCTCTCACTATGCAGCATTAATACACAACAGTAGCAATTCCAGTTCCAGTCCACTTGGAAGGCTAAGCTATCATAAAAGTCTCACAGAACAAAGAATTTCAGCTTATTTATCAAAGTTTTACTTCCTTTTCCTCTAAAGCAGTGCTAATGAAATTCCTAAAATTCAAGGAAGGCAGAGGCAAATTACAGTTACTCAACTCCTGAGAAGTGCCAAGCAGGTAAGTTACTTCAGCTGTAATACAAAAAGCTAAGGTTTAACATGACTTTTGCACCTCTTTAATGTCTCAGGTATTTAACCAATATGGTTATGTGGGATATACAGACAAAAGCTTTATATCAAGTTTGGTGTTAAAAAAAACCAAAAAAAAACAACAAACCACCAACCCCCCCCAACAAACCACAGAAGATGGTGCTGTTAAACTAAGATGTACTACGACAAAACACACAACAGTAGAAGAAGACAGTAAGCAGGTTCCTTTCCATGTTTAAATCATGAACCAGATACATTAGATGCACCTGAGGTTGTCATTAAGCATAGATCTGCTATACAACAGGCCCTGCTCCCTTCAAGTCCAGCATCTGACCTTACTGAGCAGTACTAGCCAAACATAGCAGGCTTGACTTTGCTGTTCTAAACCATATACGGTGGTGGAGTTTTTCTTCCTTTTCCAAGAAGTGACATACCTACATTTGGTGGCCTCTAATGAACATTTAATTGCAACTATCAAGTATTAAAAATCTCCCTTTCTACATTAAATAAAAAGGTCAGAGTTTTTTTTCCTCCCTTTATCCTACAATTTAGCTGTATGGTGAGCAAAACACTGAATGACTCAAGCAACAGCGGTACTGTGTAACATCTACATGAAACAGTTACTGAATCATGAAACCTTCAAGTGTCAAAATAGCCAGACAGAATAAAGGAACACCAGCACACACCACCCAACACTGGGCTCTTGGCCTTCAGAGTGATTTTTCAAGCCAACTATTCGTCATGCACTTATAAAGCTGAAGATGAACTAGCTGATAACTGCACTCCTGCACTAACCCCAAAACAAACAACATTCTTCTTTCTATCCCTTCTCCCCATTTAATACAATACCTGCCCTCCTAGAAACAGATGTAAACTGCCTATTTTCTTTCTCTCTCTAAAGACTATTTCAAAAATACATCCTTTGCAAGAAACTCCTAAATAAGTTCTCCCTGTTTATTTTTCTAATAGAAAATTATCCAGTGATTTCACACCAAACCAGGTAATAACCCTTGTTTATTCAAGGTCCACCTCCATGGTTTTCTTATGTTGTTTCGCAACAGATCATTAAGGTCTATTTTCCTTCTCTACAACGGCCTCTCTTCAGTATCAGTTACGGAGCCTGTGGAACTGCAAGCACTACTACTGTATCATACCACACCAACAGGCTGGCTAGATATTTTAATTAAGACACTAACCAAACAAAAAACCCATTACTGGCTATAAAATATTAGGCCAGTAGCTCTCCAGCATTTAAAACTAGTAAGAAAAATCTCAATTATTTCACGAGCATTTAAAATCCAAATTCCATTTGAAAAAGTGAATATTCAAATTTCTATCTTTATCACAACCTGCAAGACCTCTGAAATCAGAAGAAAATGAAAGTCACAGCTTGCTTACAAGACATCAAATGACATAAGAACACTACACAACCAGCTTTTAAGACAATCAAAAAAATCACACCGAGCTGAACACTGAAGCAATAACCATTCTCTGTGTTTACTCAAAGTTTGACAACTCTCATCTTGGGTAAGCATTTCACAGCTTTCTTGGTGGATCAGTACTGCCAGAACTGGTAGACCTCCCAGCATTACCAAAATTAATTTTGTTTTAGAACAGATCCACATTAAGTTCTACCAAATGAATTTCAATAGTTAATTTTTAGTATATTAGCTAGATTTATGCAAGCAAGGAGTCTTGCCTAAGCAAGGTAAGGGGGGTTTTGTACAGCTATATAAAGTCTTCACAGAAATACAGCTTATGTTTAAGGCTGCTGTATGTTCAGGTTTCTCCAAGAACATCCTTTCTTTCATACTGTAACTCCTTAGTGCTTAACAAGACAGCTACCTACATATTTGAAGGTGCAGAAAGTCCAGTCCAGCTGGGCTGCCTTACACTCAGAAATCTTAACAGACACATACAGCAAAGAAACAGTAAGCCCAACACCCAGACAAAAATATGGCAGTCTTACTTAGCATTATCCACAGCACTTTTTACAAGTAAGGTCACACCTATTCCAGCATCCTTGCTTTGATATAGAGGGAGCTTTTCCACACATTACCAAAGTTTAAATTGGCTTAGAGTCTGGCTTAAATGTAAAACTGGTGTCTCCATTTAGCTCAGCATTTTTGCAAATTTCAGCGTATTTCCCACCGAGGGATCATGATGCTCCTAGATGGGGTAAAACACAACAGAACAGAAGGAGAAATTTTAGCTGCAGAGACTAAGAAATAAAGCTGTGTTGAAAAAAGAAAAACTTCTCTGCTCATCCTGAAGAGAAGGCTCTCAGGAGACATTACTGAGGCCTATGAACACTTAAAGGGGGCTTATAAGAAAGATGGGGATAGACTTTTTAGTAGGGCCTGTTGCGATAAGACATGGGGTAATGGTATTAACCTAAAAGAGGGGACACGTAGACTAGATGTAAAGAAGAAATTTTTCCCTGTGAGGGTGGTGAAACACTGGAACAGGTTGCCCAGAGAGGTGATGGATGCCCCATCCCTAGAAACATTCAAGGTCAGGCTGGATGGGTCTCCAAGCAACCTGATCCAGTTGAAGGTGTCCCTGCTCATTGCTGGGAGGTGGGGTTGGCCTAGATGACTATATTTCGCATCTGCTGCACACATGACATTTTCATGTATGTGTATACTCCTATGCTGTCCACACCTAGAACGGACCACGAAAAATCCATCCACCAGATGGCATAGCTGGGAAGGTAGGAAGGAAAAAAAGCCCACAAAAATTAACAACCCAACCCCCCCCCCAAAAAAAACCCAACACAAAGTCTGCACACTGAAGCAAAAATGAAGCTATCATTATTTGTGTAGCATAGCACAATTAACTCTGACCCATGAGTACAGTTCTGCATGCCAGTACAAGGAGGAAAGTCTTAAGGCTAATTTGGCTTATTCACTGTCATGGTCACATCAGTCCAAAATGTTTTAGCAAAGCTACAGAATTTTGTGTTTACATGTCCTGCAAATTCTCTGCAGATTCACTTATGAGTGATTTCTTTATCAAAAGAAATCTTATAATAAAGCTCGAAGTATCTCCAAGATCAGTCAGGCCACATCTAAGAGCACGAGCACCACCCTCACTCTTCTAGTAAGGAAAAAAGAATGGAAATTTAAGTCTGGAGGTAGAAGAAACAAAAGAAAGCATTGCTACGTTTAGACATTATGCATACAGTATACACTTTTAGCTTTACTTCCCTCCAAACAGAACTTATAAGGCATCACTAACTAGTAACCGAGTACTAGGCATATTGCAAGAGAAAGTAAATTCAAAACAAGCTCTTACTATTCAAAAATTCACGACTTAACGAATAAAGAGGATAAAAAATTGCTATACACAAAAAGAACATGGATGTTAAAAGCTAATGTCCTGGAAGACTATCCCAGTGCATTACACTATAGTTCACTTGAGTCTTCCTGAAAACTCTCTGCAGTTTAACTCAAAAGTTAATCAATCTGGCTTCCAACACCCAAAAGATCACTAAAATAAGTTCAGGATAAGACTACATGTACATGTGTTGAGGGCTGGGAAAAATGTTTCTGATGAATTCCCCCAAGCAGCCTGGATATGGGCCATCTCATAATGCTACTGCAGGAAAAAACAAACAAACAAACAAACAAACAAACAAAAAAACCACACCAACAACAACCCACCAAAAACCAAAACCACAACATATGCAGGGTAAGATGATCCGAGGTAATTCCAATCAAAAGGTGAGTTAATGTGTCATTTAACCCAACCCCCCTCCCCCCAAAGGTAGTCTTAAGCAACAAAGGTAAAAACAGTTACAGTAACCTAATTAAGTATGAGCAAGAACTCATGACAGCTAACATCACAGCCTAGAAACAGGTGTCACCAGCCAGCAACCCAGTGACAGCAGGGAAGCTTCCTGTTCCTGCATTGATATATATTTGCTACCCTTTCAAATATAGGTGCAGCAGCCACTGACAGACAATTGCAAACTGCTATTCAAACTTAAGTAACCAAAAGGACTAGATATGTACTGCATGACATCTCATAAAGGTGTCTTTTTATTATTTCAATGTGCATTTTCACAGCTCAAAAGCCATGTTCTCTTATCCTTTAAGTCAAAGCTGAAGTACGGATAATGGACCCAAAAAACTCACTCTAAACTAACTGCTCCAGAGATGAGAGTCAATAGCAATTTTTCAGTGCAAGCGGCACAGGGAGGCATTCATACTCACTTTACCAGAACAGGTCAGCTAAGCAACAGCATGAGCTTCAGAATGTGAGCTGCCAATTGTACAAAAAAACCCCTTCATTGTGAAACACTGCTATTTGAACCACAGCTTAAAATACTGTCTGCTAGCAGAATAACTGAAAGATGTTAAAGGGAAGCAAAAATAATTCACACAGAAAGCATTCTTTTAATAGTTGTTTTTTGTTGGTTTGTGGTTGGGCTGGGTTTTTTTCACCACAAATAAAAGCTGTAAGAATCTATTCCCTTTCAGATACAAGATGTATCTACTACTGTTAGTAGCTGACAAACAGAGAAAAAACACTCAATTTCCTTCAAGAATCTTCCTAATCTCTGCTCAGAGGAAGAAACAGACTTGGAAACAAGGGATGAAAAATTATAAGCAAAGCATGGTTCAGAAGTTGCACATAGATATAACTAAAGCTTAAAAGTACTATGGAATACAAAGCACAGATCAGGCTGCTCAGACACAAGGCACCCAAACATAACCCCAAAAGCTAGAAAGTTGCAACACAAGTATTTATGGTGTACATAAAAGGCACAGAACACACATTTTAAAAGTCTTGGATTAAAAAAAAAAGAAAAAGAAAGATAAGCAGAGTAATATGGAAGATAATAGGGAGCAGAACAATTCAACAAGTTGCCTACCAAAACAGAGCAGAACCCCCTGCTCTTGAAGCAATCTGTATAAGAAACTACACCAATGAGCAAAGAGTACCTTTCAAATACGTTTTTTGAAGCGCCTCTCAAAAACCCCACCACTACACATACACATGATGTTCCCTGAAAAACATGCATTATGAAGTCAACATTTACTAGGTTATTATTTAGTTTGTCTTAAAAACCTACCTACTAATATGGATTTCAACATCCAGAAAAAGGGTTTTATCTGTATTAATGACCAAAGATAAACTTCAGCTGATGATACCATACAAAGCTGCATACCTTAAATCACAAACATGAGCACAACTGCCCAAAGCCTTTACGTGTTCTAAAACATTTTCTTGTTCATAACTAAGTTTCTAAAAAGAACAGATAGCAGCTACTAAAAAAAAAATCCTTAAAAGCCCTAAAAACTCTGCTTTGTAGTAACTCAGCTGAACGAAACTTTCAGACTTACAAAACTCGTTTCACATCCAGAACTGTACATACTCCATAAATTCCTTTCTCTAAGCCTTCTGCAAAGTGATCCAACTATTCAAGGAGTACAGCAACCGAGTAAGTGAGCAGTGCATACCCACGCATGTACTCTCATCTCCAACACAGCAGGTATTTGGCGAATGTGAACTAAAGATTAATGGGAGAAGGGGCCTAAAAAGACTAAGCACTCAAGACATAACTTAAGTAAAATGCTATCAGTAGTTCTTCAGCTTCTGCGAAAGCAGGGATTAAGTTTTCTTCTTAAAGGAAAGGCCCACTATTTAATAAACAGAAAATTCCTCGTAGCTTTTACTAGCCATGCACTAAAGGCACTTTTGGAGAGTGCCCCGTAGGCAGGCAGAGGAATGTCAGAGCACCAAATCCCTCAGCTTCCACTGACACTCACGTCCATACAACTCTATACATAACGCAGCCCTAGACAAGAATTTTAAACACGGAGGACTGCGACTAATCCAACCGGAGAAAGGGATAATGTCGCTCATAGCTCAGCTAGCGAGGCTTCTCCAGCTCGCCCCTCAGCCAGGCAGCTGCAGCGGGGTGGAAAGGGAAGAAGGAAACACAGGCGCTTTATTTTATCTTTTAAATAGGGAGGCAACCACTACAACCTAGACGGGGAGGAGGGACCCCCGCGCACACCAGCGCCAACAGGACGCTCGAATGCGCCCCTCCTCCCTCCGAGGGGCTCCGCAGGGCCGGGCCC